ACTTTTACTATAGACTTTCTTTTAATGTCCACAGCGTGGGTTCAAATATAACTTCCAACATCTCCAGTCCAGTGGTGGGTTGCTAACCAGTTTACTACCGGTTTGTTCATACTCACGCGCGCAACACTTCTGCGCATCAGCCTCCTGCCGCCGCCGCTGCTACCGGTTTGGCCAAACCGGGAGCAACCCACCTCTGCTCCAGCCATAACATCAATCACCATACTTGCTGAAAGATACAAGAACAGCAGTTCCTTTTTATGAGGCATATCATATTGGGGAAAACTACTATATATTGTAAATCCAGGCAGGGGGCATGACACATTCTTCATTGATAACATACAGACCCTGGCTTATTTCCTTTTGCCGTCAATTGGGCTCAGAAACAAGCCATCAGCCAATGCAGAAATTTCAAGATAGGTGTAATTCTACTCTCAAAGAGTTAGACTGTCAGGAGCCTTGCTGCCACATTTTGAATCAGCTGTAGCTTTCAATTCAAAGGCAATGCCAAATGCAGCACATTACTGTAGTCTAACCAAGTGGGGATTAGGGCACAGGCCATTATTTGGATATATTTTTATTTTTAAAGGGTTCCTGAAATTTAAAGAGAGAAAATACAGTGAAATCAGTCAACTAATGAAATAAGGTTATCTTAAGCAATCCTGACTTAGGGCCTCCTCAGAGTGGGAACTACCATAGAAAAAGTCCTTTGAAATTATGTTACATAGGAGAGAGTCTCACTTAAACACTTAGGTACTTAAACTACTCAAGGGGACAGGAAAAGCACATCCAAACTTGCTTTATTTAAAGCACAGCTACAATATTATATTTATTTACCCAATTATTCTTTATGACTCTTTAGTTAACAAAATAAATGGAATTTATGGTTGCATTTACTTTGTTTAGGTTTAAAGTATTTGCTGACTATGAAGCCTACATCAAATCTCAAGGGCAAGTGGACCAACTATACATGGTAAGATGGAGACTTTCCTCATAGTTTGAACTAATTGCAAATTGATAAGAAGGCTTCTTCATGAAATAACTAGAAATTATAACTAGTGTTCCTGGTATCCAAGAGTGAGCCCAATGCTGAAAAGGGGCAGTCAGAATGTACATATGTATCATACATACATTAGCATAATCCCTTATCTTATTCTAGCACTTGGGGAAACTGCCAGCTCTTTCCGGCCTTCAGAAAAATTAAAGCTGGCTGCCAGATCCTGAGTGGAAAGGTGTCCCACAGGGTCTTACAGAAGGGGCATATTTCTTGTTCCCACTAAATAGCAACATGAATGGGAAGGGACTTGGAGCCCAATCTATCTGGCTTGATGGAAAATGAAACCTTTGGGGAGAAATTATCCACAAATAACCTGGCCTGCTGCGATGTAATCAGTATCTTGAATTGCACCTGAAA